AATTTTCTTCTGATTTTGTTTTTCTACCTACCCCTACTAGGCCATAAGCTCCAAAAGTCTGTGAATTCCTAGCAGCCAGCACTATGCTGTTCAATAGAAATAAAATTCAAATTATACAAGTAATCTTAAATTTTCAGTAGCCACTTCTATAAAAGTGAGAAGAAACTGGTGAAATCTAGCTTTATAATGTATTCTATTTCATCAAATTTTGTCAATTGAGCATGCAATGAATAGAAAAAAAATTACTAAGAAAAATTTCATTCCTGCTCACAACCCAGTATTAACTCAGTATTTCCAAACTGCTGAGGAAAATAAGAACACAGACTAGAAATTTAAAATCAAAGCTTTGTCATTCATAAGAATATCACTGCAGGAAGAAGAGCTCACCTGAAGACCACCTCAGAAAACAATCAAAGGTTGTGTTTCTATTGGAAAAACCTCCACAGACTCAAGAAGTCTCTGGCCTCCTGCCCTTGGAAGGCAAGCCCTGGAAACAATGGTGGTTTGGGGACAAGACAAAGTGTTAACTACATGACTTCTGTGTGTGTTTCACACTGATAGCACATCTCAGTTGGGACCTGCCACACTTCAAGTGTTCCATGGCCACATATGGCTGGTGTCCACCATACTGGACAATGTAGATCTTGTGGGATGCCTGACATATATTACTTAGCTAATAAAGAGTTGGATGAAAAATGGAGAATAGGAAAAGAAGGTGACAAAGAATGAGAAAAGAAAGACAACAGAAAGCAAAAGAAGATAACATCTGTTGACTAAATACTGTGTTAGATTATTTCATATATCAATAAGTTATATCATTTAATCTTCACATCACCTCTGATGAGGTAGGTATTATTAGAAAATTTTTGTCAATAGACACTGATTTGTAATATAATTTGCCCCAAATCTCACTGTAGTCTGAGGGAAGAAGCAGGATTCAGAACACAATCTCCTCCTACTTCCTGCGCTCACAGCAGCCTCCGCTGCAAGTCTAGTCAAAACAACTGCAAATCTAGGTCTCTATTTCCTTCAGATGACACATTCCAGGGCTCCTATAAGATACTGTTATGCATCCCACAGATGTACTTCTTCAAAAAGGATGGTCTGATCACAGCAGGATAATGGGGGGAGGGGCAGTATCCCTGACCTCCTGGAGGGACCCTACTCTCATTTTCTGTTGCCCCATTGATAGAACCAAATTAAATAGTGGCACTGAACATTACCCAAACACGCCAAGCTCTCTAGCATGCCTCCCTGGCTCTGTTCTGTTCCACACGGCCTGCAGCCCTTCCCTCCTTCACCCAATTAACACACATCCAACATAACTCAGTTACAAAGGAGGAGGAGGAGGAAGAAGAAGAAGAGGAAGAGGAAGAGGAAGAAGAGAAGGAGGAAAAAGAGGGGTTAGAAGAAAAACAAATCTCAGTCAAGGGGTCATTCCATCTCAGACAGAGAACCTCCTCAAATCTACACTTCAAGTATGAGAGTTTCCCTTTTTCTGTGATCCCAAGGAACTGTTATGGAATTGCTCATGAATTCTGTCATTGTTTACATTTAGGGTCTGTCTCACTGCACTTTGAGTTCCTGGAAAGAAGGGACTAAGCCTTTTATCTTTACATTCCCAGTACCAGCATTTCTTAAATGGAGTTCACAAATAAGGAAATGAATGAATGAACAGACTGATGAGCATCTCACATCTCTAAATAAATTCAGAAAAACCAGGTACCATGCCGTCCACTAAAAGCACTGAAAGAAAGTCAAAGTGTACTTTTGTAATATAGGCATCCCCCTCGGGCCACTTGTCCAGATGGGGGTCACAACCTCAGAAAGCATCATCAGAATACCCCATGATACCTCTAACTATTTTATTTTAAAAAAAGTACATGTTCTAAGCTATGAAATGAATGTAGCAAATTTGGGAGGTTTGGAATATGTGGAAATAATGCGAAACACATCAGAAGTTTGTAGGGTAGAAAAAAGTAATGACAAATATTACAATGTGGCCCTAGAATCAAGAGGGCTGGTTATGCTGGAGTAAAGAGGACAGAAGATATGAAGTGCTAGTATCATTTTGCTCCTTGTCCCCAGGATAGTTGGTAACAGTACCAAGAAGTAGGCACGACCACAAGAACTTAGTTTACCCTTGCTCACAGCATGATGGACATAAATATTCACCCACTAGGATCATATTGAGAGATGTTTATGCATAGACCTATTAGTTCACTAAGACTGTGGCCTGTGCAAGCCTTCAGACAGGTTTTTGTTTGTGGATTCATGTATCCAAAAGCCCTGGCAATAGCTAGACAAGGGTTGGGGGGTACCACCACCCCCAACATTAAGTTTCTGCTACTGTTTGATTTTGTCTTCTCAAGCATAGATCTGAACTTGGTGTTGGACAAAGCTGGGTAGATGCATCGCTACAGAACCATATACTGCCTGAGAATGGCTTAGGAAAGAGTGACTTCCACAGATATCCTCCTGAACCCAAAACAACAAACAAACATTTACACACAAATACCTCTCATCACATTACTGAGTGGATCTGAAAAATAATTTGCAATCACAGTATATGGGTTCACAACTGTACCAGGTACAAGAAAAGTACGAGAATGGAATACAGCAAGTAGGCTCTGGCCACCTCAAACAGCTGGCACAGAGAAATATGGGGTGGGCAGCTTCGGTAACTGTGTACGTGCTGAAGCTGACTTGGCACTTCCACTGTCCCAGCCCGAGAGGCTGCCTCTGAGATCCAGATAAGACCTGCCCAGGCAGGGGCAGACACAGAAATTGAGTAACTAAAGCTCATGGGCAGCACATCCTGCCTCAATCAGAGATGCAGACTTCACCTGGACTCCTTGCAATCACATTGCCGGGGGGAGCGCACACATGGCAGAAAGAATTTAAACTCCACTAAATCCCAAATTAGAAAGCAGCTGTGGCAGAGCCAAACTTTGCCCTCAGTTACTAAAGTGGTTCTTTAAGGTATTAAAAATGACTAGAAACCAGGTCTCTCCCTTCATGAAGCTAATGAAACGTTTACCCACTCACATTCTACATGAGACCAAGGAAAACTAGGGTGTCACCTTGATGTAGCCCCCCTAGTACTGCAGAGGTTGCTTTCTCCTAGCCAGGCAGGGACACCATGATGTCTGACTTCCTTGTGTCCCCTATCTCCCCACCACCTGTATTGAAACAGGGAAAGTGAGACACATTTGGGTGATAACACTCTGTGGGACGTGTGGGGTGGGTGAGGCAGTTATGTGAAAGTTGGCACTGCAGGTAGATAGACACCCAGTGCATAATGCTACATAGATAACAAAGTAGAAGGTTTGCTTTTCATAACCTGGTATGGGCAGCAAAGAAGGGACCCTACCAACTTATCCTTCCTCTGGCATCTCCTACCACCTTAACACAGCCCTAAAGGAATACCTACAGTCTGTATTTGGAGCTTCTAAACAATAATTGTTTTCACTGGCCAAAAATGGTGAGGCCTGATTAAACAAGAGGGATGAGAAGGAAGCAACAGGCCTGCTGGATGGCAATAACAAGATGGCACCGTCTGCAAATATTTCCAGACCACTGCAGGGGAGCTCTCCTGTTGCCCCAACAAAAGCCAGCTGTGTCTAAGCCAGCTGAGTCACCCATGGGCCTCAGCCCTGGGAACAGCCTTCCTAAAATACATGCCAAATTCCACAATCACTTTAAAAATGTAGGTCAGCCCTTGCATTCCTACCAGGATAAACATAGCCCAGAAGGACAGGGCCAAGCTGAGGAAACTTCCTCACTTGTCTTGATTTCTTTCTTCTTTTTCTCCATCATTGCATTCACTCTCTTGTTTTCCTCCCAAAGCCTTCTATTTTTTCTTAATTTAAAGACTTCTATTTGTCATACTCTGGGCCTGCCTGTACCAAGACAAATGCTAAAACACAATTATTCTTGGGGCCTCATCAGGAGATGAGAACAAGCCCCACCTGTTACCATGCTCACACCTGAGGGCCTCTTCCTTGCAAGGTCTGTTGTTACTCCAGTTCTAAGGTTATATTCAGAGATTTGCTCGTAGCACCTCTCTCGGGACCAGGGTTTGGCTACATCTCTGTCACCAGACAGAATGCCAAACAGTCACAGTCCCTAAACCCAACAGACACTGGAGAAGAATTCATCCGTGAGAGCACCCCATCTGTCATACTCAAAAAGAATTTAAAAGTGCTTGCAAAGTTAAATTGAGGCGGCAACATAAAATAAAGATGAATGAGAAACTAAGGATCCTGGGTCTCCCAGAATGAGGACAGAGGAAAATTGGCAGCAATTTCACCTTGCCCCACCTCATTCTGTCCCTTCTTTACTGGTCATACATGATCCTCTCTCTCTCTCTTGAAAAAAGCCACCAAAGACCACCCCCACCCCATTGCTAGATTCAGTGGCCAATTCTGCCCTCATCTTACTTGAGCCACTGGCAGAATTCCACAGTGCTCCCCACAGCCTCCTCTCTGAAAAATATTCTTCCCTTGTTTTTTTTCCCATTCATTGTACCCTCCTTTGTTTCCAGTGTCTCCTAAATTCCAAGCTCTTATGATTGGGAGTCCTGGGGACCTGTTTTTAAAACTCTTTTCTATCTACCCTCAGCTCTGGGGGATCTCATCCTGTTCACAGCTTGGAATGCTGTGCCACATGCCTGTGTTTCCCAAATATTTATCTTTAGTACCAGCTTCTCCTCAAACTATAGAGTCCTGCAATCAACTGTATATTCAACTTCTCCACCCAGATGTCTACTACACCTCTCAAACTGTCCAAAACAGACTGTCCAAAACAGAGCTCCCAGCTAATATTAGCCTTTGTTTCTTAGTTAATGCTGAAAATATTCTGTAATATAGAAACTATAGTTTGAAAATTGACACCATACGTTCAGTTTTACAAAAACACACACGCCCACACATGCACACACATCTGTGTGCGTGCCAAAAGCAACTAGTAAGAAAACACAGTGTCGTACTAAAACTTACCTTACTTTGACCTTTGCCTAAGTCCTCCATGGTTCCTGAGTGGATGTGTTGCTCAAAGGCTCCCAATCCTACCAGGTGCAGCTCAGTGTTCAAGAAAAGACTATTTCACCAGCACCAGTCTTGCAACAACACAAAAAAGAAATTGCTTTTCTTCCTCCTACTCATATGTTTCTCCTTGGGTGCTGTACTCACTGCCAGTGACCTCCATCTCCACCCAACCTACAGAAACTTGGCCCATAGCACCTTGCAATTAATGTCGTCAGACACACAAGTATGACTGTCAACCCACCAGTCAGGCTCCCAGCTCACCAGAAGACACTAAGGAATCTCCATCAGCAGGGTTTCTCCCATAACTGTAACCATTCTCATTTACTTCCACTCTCACTATGTCTACTTCCTGATTAATCAATTCCATAAAGCCATTCAGCCATCCAACTTCAATGGTCAGGATGTAAGTATAAGGCTCCCACAAGGAATAGCTCCTCCCTCCCCCATGACTTTGCTTCTCTTATCTGGACAAGCCTACCAAGCCAACCAGCTTACATTCATTCCAACACATGGGGAGTAGATAATACCCCAGATGGTACCCCTGACCTGAGCTGCACATGTGAAGACTGAGAAATCTCAGGAATAAATAGTCATAGAATTGCTGTTCCTTTCAGCATTTTGACATACCAGCAAATAAGAAATGAGACCATAAGAAATTAAGGTGAGTGTGGACTGAAACTAATAAATGTGAAGTTGTGAGGTTATGCTGTCATGTTACCAAATAACAAACAAACAAACAAAAACCCCTGAATATATTTAGAAAATGTAAACCCAAATGGGAAGCCAGTGGAGAAACTCATTTAAACCAGAGACTTTCCTATAAGGACGCCAAATAAGAATTGCTTTCTCCAAACACCAGGGTCATTCATGGTCTGTTTTATAACAGTAAGATACTCAATTAATGTAAGTTAACCTGCTCATCAATTCTCCACTTGGACATAGATCACCAGAAAAAAATATCCATTCATCCTTATTCTGGTTTTTAGTCACCCTAGTTTAGAATTGTCCTTTGTGAATTGCTTCTCAAGTCTCACTCCCCAAAATAAAAAAATATTAGTTTATACGTTCAAATATACCCTGAACCTTGGAGGAAAAATACAAAAGGCTGAACTTCAGTTTGGGGACAATAAAGGGGAGAATATTTGCAGGTGTCATTTGTTAACCTAGATACATAAAAGTAAGTGATGATGTTCCAAATAGCAAGGAAAGATAACACACTTCAAGTCCGTGACTTTTCCTGAAAATGTACTCTTTTAGGCCTAACCAAGTTCTTCATTAGTGAGTGATATTCCATCCCAAAATCTGGCAGTATACCTCATGATTCAGCACCATCTGTGATTGATAAAGCACTAAAAAAATAATCAGAGACTTAACTAGGCTCAGTGTGAGACAATGCTTGCTCTCTGAGAGCAAGAGTAGGTACCTCAACCTTTTGTTTTCCAAAGGATTAATATCATGCCCAGGTCAGGATACCTCAAAATCAAAATATCCCTTCAGTTGACCTCTTTCTATTAGTAACTTTCATAAACTGCCTCTTTCTAAACTTTATGGGAAAAAAAATGGGGATTCTCTTAATTTCAGGAAAACTAAAGAAGAATTTCCTAGGGTGGTATACAAATTCTATTTCCAAGGCAAATATAAGATCTACAGTAATGAGGAAAGGAAATAATCCATCAATATCTCTTCAGAATCTTGTGCAATTTCTATGTTATTAAGGACCTGTTGACAGAAGAGTGATCACATGTTTGGAGGGGAAATGGTACAGAAAAGAAACAAAAGTGGGCAGGGGGAAAACGAAACTAGGACTGAGGTAAAGCAAAATGCTCTTGATTTTGCCTTCACTCACTGATTTCACATTGTCAGTCTCTCTCCTAAAAAAAAAAAAAAAAACACAACTCCCATCCTCCCACCTGAGAACCAGTTAGAATGTAGCAATTTTTCAGAACAGAGAAGCAATTTAATTTACTCACCCCACCCTCTTACTCATTACCACCACAAAACATAAATAAATATAAAGACAAAGTTAAATACTCACCACAATTAACATAAAGTAGATTATATCAAGTTAGTACATTCCTTTCCACAAAGCATGAGCTGTCCTCTCTTGAATCTTCCTTACAGAGTTAATTTCTGCAGATATGTCTAGTAGTACAGACAGCAGACCTAAGTTTATCAGATAGACACAGAGAGCCTGTACCTTCTAGTCTCTCCTATATCTATGTCTTTCCCATTGGGAAACACAGAGAATAGAATCTTTTTTGATCTTTGCTGACTTGAAAAAAAAATAAAGTAATAAACTTACTCTGTCTACTGTCTAGTGTTGGTGTTGTCATTATTAAATACTGTAATGGAATCATTCTGACCATGAAGACCATCATGGTGACAAGGAGAATACTGACTACCATCCAGCATACATCCCTACATCCCAGTTTGAGTTATCCATTCCATAGTAGTTATCATTTGCAATGGAAGTAATGTGTTCCAAGACTACCAATGGAAAGCACCCTCTTCTAGATGAAAAAGTGACTTTTAAGATATCCTTCCTTTAAAAGACAAATGGAATTCCAATTTTCTCAGAGACTATTCCTTTTAGTCCCAACCCCATCTCCCAAAGAAAATAAAATTTTAATTACATAATGATAGTGATATCTTGTCATCATCTTCAAGAAGAAACTCCTTGGGTTAAACATTTTTGAAAACTAATTATTTTTGCTTTGCCAAAAGATTGATAAATTGTATGAAGAAAAGCCACATTGTCTGTACAAGTCGAGTGGGAAAGAATGTTGTACTTAGCCCCAGCCAATCTGAAGAAAACTTGTTTGTTCTGGGTATAAAGTGTCTAACTAAAAGTATTCAGAAGACATAGTGTCAGACTGGATCTCAGAATTGTGGAGGAGTGAATCAAAGAAATAGTCTTGTCAATCAAATTAAAAATTGCCCAAATCTCAGAGGGATAATAGATAGCAAGGTCCAAAATGTGGACATCAGCTATGAACCTCCAAAGCAGTCAGTTCGTAGGTGATCCTGGCACATTCTTCTGACCCAGTCACCAGCCTCTGATAATGAACAAGCCCTGATTATTCACCCTGGACACAGTCTTCCTGAGACTTTGCTTACTTCACTTTCTGTATGTTCTCTATTCGTTCTCAAAGTCTTCTGGTTCTGGATCTTGGCCTCACCAGTCCTATTAATACTATCAGAGACCTTGCCTCCCTGGCTTGGCCCTTACTGCCCTCTAAGACTCTTAATTTTGAGTCATGATTGGCCTCAGTAAATAAATCACACTTCACCCACCACTTTCACTACCCCTTACCCTGAACTTCATTGAGATCCATGATGGACTTAGGCAATATCTTAGCTTGGGTTCACCTTGCTCTAATCCAATGGGAATGTATCAAACATGGGAAAACATATTTTTTTATGATAATAATAGATACAAAAGGGGAACTGGTGTCTCAGAAGCCAAGGTAAATATCAACACAGACCATGGTTTGGCCTTCTCGGACTTGTTATGTACAAGATGTTAAAACTGAAGGCACAAACTTTTTGACTTGTTAATGGTACAAAAATGTGCATGGAAGAACACCATCAGGACAGGCAGGGACAGTGTATTTCCAATTTAAACACAAACACTTGACTATTTTGAGGTGCCAGACATTGTGGAATTTACCTTGTTGGGTACTGAATCTTTTTTATTTCTATAAATATTATAGAGCTCTGTTCTGAAATGAGGTTAATGACTTGGAAACAGTTTGATCCTCTGGTGAGCTTCTTTTTTATGATTTGTTAGGCACATTTGGAGCAGTGCTCAGTCTAGTGCTGTTTCCCATTACTAAGGCAAGAACTTTCTGACTGTTCTACCCAATATCCCATGAATTATGGGTTTTCCAGTCTGGCTAGAAGGAAAAAGCAATATTCCCAGTCCTGTGAACACTGGGCTTTGTACTCTTCTCCCAATATCTTTATCCATTTTATGTTGCTATAACTGAATATTTGAGACTAGGTAATTTATAAAGAAAAGAAATATATTTCTCACAGTTTAGAGGCTGAGAAGTCCAAGGGCATAGCTCCAGCATCTGCTCAAGAAGCCAAGGGCCTTCTTGCTGCATCATTAACATAGCAGAGGGCATCACATGGAAAGACAGTGCTGGCAGGCTAGCTCAGATCTCTCTTACTCTAATGCTTTTATTTAGGCCCTACCCTCAGGACCTCATCTAATCCTACTTAATTCCCAAATGTTTCACCTCCAAATGTCATTAACATATAAAATTGGGATTAACTTTCTAACACATGAACTTTGGGGAGACAAACTCAAATCACTACAGCACACACACACACCATCCCACCACACCCTGATGCCAGTCTCTCAGCTTCCAGTAGTTTCCTCATATGCATGTGCTGATCACTACAATGCTGAATCCTCACGGGACGGCTCTACAGGCCCCTTTAGGCAGAGTATGTCAGAGAAGCAATAGGTTACACTACAGAGTTGATCAAATCTTTTCTGAGACTTGGTTTTAGGCATCTTGCTCCTTCTGAAACTAGTGAGAAAGTTCTCACTGTTGGAAAGACAATGATGGAAGCACCTGTCCATGCTTGGCCTAGTAGAAGAAAGGACATATTGTGTTTTCTGTGTGAACCTAATTTTATCAAAAGCCTAATTCCACTTTATTAGCACCAAGGAAGGCTAGTGGGAAAAGGAAATTGGTGGGTATATGGACAGGTCCAGCTGGCTGAGGACCTTTGGGGCCATGGTAAATGTCTGGTTTTATTTTAACTTCCAGGGGAAGCCACTGGACAGGCTGAGTCCAGGAATGGTGTGATTTTTATTTGTATTTTTAAAAGAATACCTGTCACTGCTTTGTGGTCTTTGGTTTAGAGGAGGCAAGAGTGAAAGAAGGAAGATGCACAAGACAGTACCATTTACACCACAGTGTGTGGGCCAGGGCTATTCTGCAAACTGTTTACTACCATCTACGATGAGTGCCGAAATTGAGAGGAAATGTTCAGAAAATTTTGAACATTTTAAAGTAATTTGGCATCGAGGAAAAATCTAAGCAGGATTTTTTTTTAAGGCTAAAATAGACTGGAAGGGAAAACCCAAATTGTTCCTTCACCCTTTACTACAGATAGTTTGAGATACAACTGCAGTCATTCAGGCGAAGAGGGTGATGGATGCTAAATGAGAGTGAATCAGGCACATAAATGACTGGGATCACAAAGGGCAGTAAGAAGAATCTAGAACTTCAGGATAAGGAGGCTGGTACACCATGATACCTCTGCCTCTGTTTGTCTATCCTAGACTTGAGTACTTACCAACACTCCAAAGTAGCAACTATCAACACTGTTTCATTCCTAAGGATAACACTACAGATGTCATAAATGTTGAGGT